CCCCACCCCAGCTTTGGGGGAGGGGCACATGCGTGTATTCCATTAATAGGGTTACATGAAGCTAAAAACAAGTCATATTTATATCATGCCAGGACCATCACATCTATACTTTGACCTTCAAGTCTAATTTATTATCTCTATAGCTCCAGCCAGGGATCTTTTAATTTGTGCAAAAACAAAACAAACTCATAGTAAGTGGATAAGTATTGGACTTACTGCCATAAGCGATTGCTCCAAGAACATCAGTTAAGCCACAGCCTGGCTGAAAGTCTCCACCGTTAGGGTAGATATCAATATGGCCAATTGGCATCTGGATGCCAATGCTGACACCCAACGCTTCTCTAGTATATGTGTGAAGAACATCTACAAAATCCGCATCATCAGGGGAAAGACGTTTTTGGGCTTCAACCCCTTCGAACATTGGGCCTGCTGGGTCCAAACCTAGAATTAAAAAAATGAGAAGTCAATATTTCTACTATACAAGATTAGCAAGGCACAGCTGTTGGTATTTATCTACATCCTTAAACAATCCATTGCAGACAGTCGCTCTATATTTCCAGCCGAGTCACAACCATATGTAACCCTGAAGTTCCTTAGATCTCTGCCAAGTAGGTCTGAAGTCACACCAAGCCTAGATGTTTGTCTAACTCGTGTACGATTTCTTGCTTCCAGCTAAGCTTACCCTTGTAGATTCTTATAATGGTGCTGGTACAAATGTGTTTTGGTTTGTGACCAGTTGCTACGTTGAGCCACATCAATCAGCCGAGGAAGCCAATGAAAGACACACAGAATAGTTGTCGTTTGCTTATGGGAAGGGTTCTGAGGGAGGACATGCTGCTTTTTCAAGAGTTAGCCTGCAGCTGCATGGTGAAACCTTTCAATGGTATTTTTACGTAGAAAAATATTTCATTGTCTAACAACTAATACTATAATAGCATAAACTAGAATATAATCTGATCAATAGTTTCCCACAAGGGATTTTATTCTTCACAACTACAGTTAAGTCTGTATGAGAAGGCCAGTAAGCTTAAAATTACAATAAGGATTAAAAGAACATTTAGGAGAAAACAAAAACTAGAGATCGAAAACTGGCTTGGTTCCTGGCCGAAGGGAGAATGTTCTCTAAACATGGTCAGTGTCAAGCTTGTAGGGTACAGACATATGAACACGGCCAATGGGGACTTGTAAAGTTTAAGCTGACCTGAACTCAAAAATTAAACATTTTGTCTTCCAGAAATGTTAATTGTACCAAACTTGCACCTTCAAATATTCTAAAAAACCTTGTACAGATGCTTGCATTATTCACACGCCCTCATTGTCAATGTGAACTTGTATTTAAAGACCAGCAGAGCTAAAATTCATGAATTCCAGTTATCTGCCACGCAGGACAGAGAGCTCAGATTATGTAAAGGAATAAAGAAACTTGACGCGGATCATATACCTGTAATACGTCCAATTGTTCCATTCACGTAGTTACCAGCAAACCCAGCAACATGCGCACCAAGACTGTACCCAATAAGGTGGACATTTTGGAGGGACAAGTTTGCTTTCTCCTGTAAAAAAATAAAGACAAACTATTTAATACATAAAGCAGTATACAAGCATCTTGCCTTCTATCACAGAGTTTCTTGTGTCTACTGTATGTAGTGTCTGAAGACAACTATGAGTCCTCTCTTGAAAAACTCTATCCAAGGCATTTCCAGCATTTCTCTCCCCTCTATTTTGCTCAAAGCAGGAAGAAATAGAACGTAAAAAAAATATACAGGAGAGCAGGAGCCTTGAGGGCATCATTGTGACTCTCTGGGACAAATGAAACCAGCTACAGAAGGCAACTTGGATGAATTGTGAAAGAATGCATGAGTGAAGTGAATCAGTCTTTAGAATATGTCTGGTATTTCACCCAGACAGAATTGTCAAGGGGGCAGACCAGTAGACAGACCAATCACAAGACTGGAAAGTGGACCACAGAGACCTGAACAAAGTTGCCTGAAGAATTGTGACATAGCAACTACATTCTTCCTTTTGCCTTCACATACTAGAGTCGGAATGATTGCTATGGAAATTTGAGAAAACGTAGCACACACGAAGGCAGCCAAGAAATGTTTCAACACTTAGGAGATATAAGCAAAAGAGTGGACAGCAGTATTAGTTAAAGTGGATCTCCAGGCAAAACCAATCATTCCGACTCTACCACTTTTGGGTAGAGTGTGGAAGGGTTAGACTTTGTCAAGTTTCTAATGCTGTCTTTCCCCAATGGGAAGATACATCCTTCCATATGTACTGGTGACCATTGTCACCAAGGAAGAGGGGAAATTTTAAAACTTTAGTGGGGATATCTTCCATTGGTGACAACTGTTGAAGAGGGGAGGAATCCCTCTCACTGGAAGGTTTCCTCCAACATCCTGTTGCATCTCTGGGAGCTTCCCCAAATGTACCGAGACCCTTCCCTGCTCTTGGTTTGGAAGATGCGCACTCTGCATCAGGCCAGGTTTCATGCTTGCAAGAAAGCCATGTTGGGACCTTTGGTTTCTCACAGTCAAGGGGCTTGCATAAAGTAGAGGTATTCATAAAGAAAGTTACCTGCAACCAGTCCATCAGTACGGCAGTTTCTCTTCCAACAATCTTTGTGTTATTAACAGCATCGGGGTACAGCTGATGGGCAAGGGACATCCAGTCCACCACGATGATGTTGGCATATGGTTCTCTCGCCTGAAGAGCCAAGACCAGCTTGTGCAGCCAGCTCTCGAAGAGTCCGCTCATCTGATGAGGAAGAACGTTGGGATTTAGTGAAAAGGTGGTTGCACTAAAGCAGGGGTGCCCACAATTTTTGTGTTAAGATCTACTTTTCAAATGTCGAGCTACATAGGATCTACCAACGGAAAAAAAACTCACTCGCTCTCTCTCCTGTCTGTCTCTCCTTGCTCATCCTCCTGGCTGTCTCCCCTTGCTCTCTCTCTCCTGGCTGTCATTCCTCGTTTTTTCTCCTGGCTGTCTCTCCTTGCTCTCTCTTTCCTGGCTGTCTCTCCCCGCTCTCTCTCTCTCTCCTGGCTCACCTTGCTGTATTTTGCAACAGGCTGTGTAAACTAATATTTTTTGATGTAATACATAGCACTTCAACCACCAGTATCCATCAGAAAGGTGTCGGGAGCTTCGGCTCAGCAGACTCGGGCTAATCGGCAATCATGTGTGCACAGCTAAATAAATATACCAAAATGGAATAAAGGGGCCGCCATTCACACCCTTCCTGATCTACCAGCATCAGCTTTGAGAGCTACTGATAGATCACCATCTACCTAATGGGCACCCCTGCACTAAAGTATATTTGAAGAAACGATGGCGCGAGTCTCTTCCTCCCACAGTAATAACATTTTGACGGAACAGGAAGAGACTACGCATGAAGCACATCAGTCAACGCCATTTTACAGCTGTGTGGACCTTGTGAATAATCCCCAAACTACTTATTTAGAACTTGTGACCATTTAATTTTTTTGACAGTTGAGTGGACACTGGCTTGGGCCCCATCTACATAAGATGGCGAATGGACACAAGCTCATAATGCAACTGGGTAATCATCTCGGGTTCTATCTTTATTTTGTTCACAGGGCCTGGAACTTCATGCATCATGAAGACTGAACTGGTACCAATGTTATGTTAGGTGAACAATCAGCTGACAACCGATATATTTTTCTCTATCTATTCATCCAGTGAAACTGCATTTACATTCTTTCAGTGCGAGTTAGCCAACTGTTATGAGAATGGGGCAAAAACTGAATGTTCTAAATACATTTCCCTTTCTGGCTGAATGTTCTTCAATAAGTTAACAGAACAGAGAGTGAATCAGGGAAAGCACAGCATTATGGCCATTAGATGAAGATGAGGGTCATAGGAAATACAGGTTAGTAATGAGATACAATGTTACAGTGCAAGAGAACAGATATACCATGACCTGGATGAATGAGAACCTCCACAGACAATTCAGGAGACCACAGGAAGGAATGAGCATATCAATGTAACCACTGCTATCACTATAGTAGCAATGGTTACCTTTATATGCTCATGCTCTTCAGCAGTTTCTAGACTTGTAACTTGGGATGCACCAATGCGGATACTAGTATCGGTGCAGCGGAGAATTTGGGCGAGTACACGTACTCATTCAAATGCTCCGATCCCTAGCCCGATAGTGCTGGTATCAGGAAGCCGGGCAGCGAGTCATTACACACTGCCCGGCTTCCCAATTGGCTGGGAAGCCGGCTCCATGCTCCGTCACTTGTGTAATGACTCGCTTCCTGATTGGTCGGGAAGCGGGCCAAGTAATTATGCTGCGCCCAGATTTCTCGTAACCTCATGACGCGGGAGCATGGAGCCGGCTTCCCGGCCAATCAGGCTAGGCACTGCATCATTATACAGCGCCCGGCTTCCTGCTTGGCCAGAAAGCCAGCTCCATGCTTTGTCCCCTAGTGACATGAAGCTTGTGGGCGGCTTCCCTGCTAATCAGGAAGCTGGGTGGCGAGTCTTTACAGGCCGCCTGGCTTCCTTAATAGGACTTCCGGCATCAGTATTCGGAATCGTCAAGTACCGCATAAAAATATATCGGTACTCTTTACCGGTATTGGTGCATCCCTACTTGTAACACTGTATCTTGTTACATGTATTTATTTCCTATAATCCTCAGCTCCATCTACTGGACATAATGCAGAATTTTCTCTGATTCACTGTTCTTTATGAATGAGCCTATTAAAGAACATTCGACTTGGAGAAAATACAAGAAGAACATTCAGTTTTGCCCCATTCTCTCAGCTTGTTTCATCACAAGACTAATGTATATGCAGTTTCTCTGGATGATTTTTTTTTTTTAATACCCAAATAGTCCAACTGGTCATAGAAGGTAGGTACTTACAGTCCAACCGTGGATAACAATGAAGGTCTTGGCAGAGGAGTTGTAGTTGCAGTTCTGCAGGCACTCGTCCTGCTCTGGGTCCAGGAAGCAACCTTTATCGGGATTGGTAGAGAATTGGGCGTTAAACTGGATGTAGGGTTTCTTGACAACCAAGTCCCCACCGGTCTCTTTCAGCAAGTCGGCAATTGTGTCATCTGCAAGCAGCAAATGAGGAAATGTCAGCACATAGGTTAGCTCCAGCGTAAACAAGATGATTTGTGGATTTTAAACAACTGTCACTGTAGTTCTTAGAAATATGACTATGTAACAATACACGCAGCAGTGTGTGGTAAGCCATAGCAACTAGAAATCAGTAACTAGAAGGGTGCAGACTAAGGAATTTTTGACAGGTTGCAATTGGATACTTTTCTTCATTACATCCACTCTGCTCAAGTATAGCCCAGATCTCATATTAAAATAAAATAGGGCTGGTACTGATTAAAATTTTCGTGTTCGATTAATCGAAATTTTTTTGAATCGATTAATTATAACTCACATACAGATCCAACTACATTGGCCTATACACATACAGCACAGCAATCGGGTAATAAAATGAACTAGGATCACACTAATCCAGCACGTTATTAATCTCACGTGCCCCACTCAATATGGCCGCCGCTTGAGTGGGGCAACTCAGAATAATAACATGCTGGATTAGTGTGATCCTAGTTCATTTTATTACCCGATTGCTGTGCTGTATGTGTATAGGCCCGTGCCTTGGCTGGCGCTCGTGCAGAACAAATTTCTTGAGCAAACCTCTTCGTTGTAACGAAATCGGAAGTCGGTCGCAGAACTCGATAAGTTCTCAGTGTCAACAGATCACCGGCCCAAGTGGCTCCGTCGGCTAACGACGAAGGGAAGGGGGAAGACTCCGGTGACGTAACGGACATCGACATCACAGGACTCCTCCCCCCTTCCCTTCGTTAGCCAACGGAGCCAAAAATATTAACTATTAATGGGGTAATTAATCGTTAATTTCCGCAGCTCTATAAAATAAATAAAATGTATATGAAGAAAAATGCATTTACAAGCTTTTGAAGTATCATGTCTGAGGATTTTAACATCCCAGTTCTGATTGTTGCCATGGAGTCAGTCATGCCATATGTATTGTCTGACAACATAATACTCAAAACACAGAACACGGTGCTCAAACACGGAACATTGCATACCTTTATCTTCCCCATGACAGCTGTCAAAATGGATACATGTATTTATTACAGGTGACACCAACAATTTACATACTGCACATTCACATCAGTCCCTTAACCCAAGGCGCTTACAATCTAAGGTCCCCATCGCCTATACATGCACGCACATAATTTAAACTGGAGCCAATTACTCTACCAGCATGTCTTTGGAGGGTGGGAGGACACTGGAGTACCCGGAGGAAACCCACACAAGCACAGGGAGAACATGCAAACTCCATGGATAGAGCAACCTGGCCAGGATTTGAACCAGGGACCCCCAATGTTGCAGGGCAGATTTGGGGACTAATTGATACTTACAGAACCTGCTTTGCTTATTAAAAAGTACAATTTTTTTTTCTACGGCAGGGCAACCATGAAAGCCAGCAACTATGTACACAAGGAAAAACGTACAGCAAATGGCACAAGAATTCAATACCGATTATGCACTTGGCCACTGGGCTAAGCCAAGCAGATGCCATCATCTAAGACTACCACACTGCCCCCTTGAGGCCCATATTGGTACTACAACACATGCCAAGTATATTCAAAAGGATCATTTGAATCCCAATGAAAATGCAAACTTGCAGCATGCTTCCGACACACCCGCATGCTCACATTCCCTGCAGGCGGAAGCAGAGGAACCAGCAATTACCAAAAGCAACCTGTGAGAGACCCAATGCTTTTATTTGCTCTCACAACAATTCGGCTTGACAAAACCCAGTTATTAAAAATCGGTCTACAGAAACAAAGACGTCATTGTAGCGTTCGCATTAAGCAAAGACCCTGAAAACTCAAAACTGTGTTGTGGGCATTGGAGACACAAATTTCACACAGGGAGATACAAGAAGGAATGGGAGTTAAGATATAGAGATAAACATTTTAGAGAAAAAATATTTTTGATATATTATTTTTGTTTTATATTACTTTTAGTATTATATTAAAAATAAAATACAAAATAAAAATTATTTTGTAGAACAGCAATAATAATAATAATCGAAATAGTAAAATAATAAGTAAAATAATAAAATTATTTTTTCCTATTATCAAGCATAAACTTGGCGGCAAGCCAGTCCCATAGCCCCCAGCTTGTCAGTAAATAATTTCTCCAATATTTATTCCCCCCTATCATTACTTTCCAACATGCATTCGTTGGAAGCATTTGTTACAGGTGCAGCTGGTTCGGAGGAAGAGCACTCGTTTTATTGTTGCAGCTTTTTCTAGCAGATGTCTCATTATGCAAAGTCGCAACTCTACCCCCAACACATTGCGAGCTCTCCTATGTGGTGTATTCTGCCGGTGGCTCAGATGTCACAGAGCACTCCGTGTTATTTAATAATTTCACCCCCCCCCCATTTTTTGAGCCGTGCCCTCATGGGCCGCACACATCCAGTTAGCGGCATCTCAGTAACGCACAGAAGTCGCACTATTTGTACACATGAACGCTTTTCATTTCCCATGACTGGACATGTTGCAAAAACAAAATCAATCAAGACCTCCCATCATTACACTAATTTCTTCCACGGTGCCCATAGGAACTGTTGGTGGGAGGTTGCATTCTTACGCTTGTTTTTGTTTTGGTGGGAGGTTGCATACATATGCTTTTTGTTTTGGGGGTGGGGGGCTTGATCAAGGTAGAGGTTTGTTTGTTTTTGAAAAATCTGGTGGATATTGCTCCATCCATTGCCATCAAATCCAATTATAGTCGTCAATACAGAAATCTACCCCCCCCCCAAAAAAAAACCCCCCTTTCCTTCCCCTCCCCAAATATATGATTTATGGCACCTGCGGATGCCACAAACTTGGCTCAGCTCCGGCAATGGACACTATTTATGGCCGTCAACCAACCCAAGCTAATGAGTTACTAGGCAAAACCCAACACAAACCTACATAGAGGTGCTCAGCACAGCCAGCAATCAGAAGTGGACGGATAAGTCGATCCGTGCAGAATGACTGAACACTGAGCAGATTATATTCACCAAAATTTCCTCCCCTGAGATCTGAGCAGAGTTCACTTCAGCACAGTTTAGGAAGACAAGAGCCACATGTGATCACATTCATTCCCCAAAAGCAGGGTCCCCCCGTTCATGCCCCAGCAGCAGCAGGGTCCCCCCGGTCATGCCCCAGCAGCAGGGGCCCCCCGTTCATGCCCCAGCAGCAGCAGGGTCCCCCCGGTCATGCCCCAGCAGCAGGGGCCCCCCGTTCATGCCCCAGCAGCAGCAGGGTCCCCCCGGTCATGCCCCAGCAGCAGGGGCCCCCCGTTCATGCCCCAGCAGCAGCAGGGTCCCCCCGGTCATGCCCCAGCAGCAGGGGCCCCCCGTTCATGCCCCAGCAGCAGCAGGGTCCCCCCGGTCATGCCCCAGCAGCAGGGGCCCCCCGTTCATGCCCCAGCAGCAGCAGGGTCCCCCCGGTCATGCCCCAGCAGCAGGGGCCCCCCGTTCATGCCCCAGCAGCAGCAGGGTCCCCCCGGTCATGCCCCAGCAGCAGGGGCCCCCCGTTCATGCCCCAGCAGCAGCAGGGTCCCCCCGGTCATGCCCCAGCAGCAGGGGCCCCCCGTTCATGCCCCAGCAGCAGCAGGGTCCCCCCGGTCATGCCCCAGCAGCAGGGGCCCCCCGTTCATGCCCCAGCAGCAGCAGGGTCCCCCCGGTCATGCCCCAGCAGCAGGGGCCCCCCGTTCATGCCCCAGCAGCAGCAGGGTCCCCCCGGTCATGCCCCAGCAGCAGGGGCCCCCCGTTCATGCCCCAGCAGCAGCAGGGTCACCCCCAATTCATTCCCCAGCATCAGCGTCACCCCCCATTCATTCCCCAGCAGCAGAGTCACCCCCATTCATTCCCCAGCATCAGAGTCATCCCCATCTATTGCCCAGCGTCTCCCCCATTTATTCTCCAGCAGCAGGGTGCCCCCTCCCTGCAGGCGATGAGACCTCCAATGACTTCTGTCACTCACCTTTCAGCAGACCTTCCTCAGCCAGGAGCGAAGCTTCCATAGACGGCACAGCCAGCACCAGGAACATCCACAGCAGCCCCACCAAGGTGCACATTGCCGGCTCTGCCCAGAAATGTAAAGGGATTTCCTCGGTCGGGTGTAATGTGTCGGTTTGGTTCCTTTGGATGGAATATGATCGCTGTGACACTATCAGTCGAAGGATTGTCTATAGACCGGTCACCAGAGGCAGCGCTGCCTATCAATGAGTGCAGCTGAGGGCTGCGTTTGTTAAAGACTCCGCTCCGGGTCACGTGACCATCAGCCGACTTTTTTTTCACAATCTCGCCCTCTGATTGGTCACGCCTCTCACACGCCCGGGCCCGGTGAATGGCAGATGGTGTCACACCTTCCTCTGCTGTCATCGAACAATGCGATCCCTGTCCCGGGGGCTTACGATGGCCACACACAGACACAGCGACTTCCAGCAGACGGATCAATGAGACCGATGGGCTGAAATCTTCCAGAAACCTGAGCTGGCCAGACACGTGGCAATCTCCATTCCATTTTAATCCCTTCCCGGCCATGGGTTTAAAGGGCCCGTACATCCAAAGGGACCATTCTACATATTTGGTTTACAAGAACGTTTGTGTTACTGGAACGCGCGTTGCCCGCGGTGACCACTTGATTCGCCATTCATTTTACACAGCACCGAGGCGAAGAGCTGGACCGCGCCGTGCTCCGCTGCGCTGCGACAAAGATTGTGTAACATGTCTGATTTCTTTTATTTAGTGCGTCGCAAGCCCATTGTTTTTACGGGCTTCCCCAATGTGATGCCGCTGAAACCGTAACATGACGCATGTATCAACACACTGCGCCAAGGTGATTGGACCCTAAGGCGTTCCTCTGCGGTGTGTTATGGCAATTCATTCACTATAGAAAACTTACAGGGCCCTTTACATACATGGCCCCCGGAGGATGAAAAAACATGCATGATCCTTTCCATACATGTCCCTTTTACATACAAGACCTCCAATGGATGAAAACATACATGATCATTTCCATACATGTCCCTTTTACATACGAGACTCCTGGAGGATGAAAACACATACATGATCCTTTCCATACATGTCCCTTTTACATAAAAGACCCCCAATTGATTGAAACACATACATGAGCCTTGCCATACATGTCTCTTTTCCATACATAACCTCCAATGGATGAAAAACAATACATGATCTTTTCCATACATGACCCCCAATGGATGAAAAAGCATACATGACCCTTTTACATACATGACCCCCAATGGATGAAAAAGCATACATGACCCTTTTACACACAATCCCTAATGCATTAAAAAACATACATGACCCTTAACATGGATGAGCCTTTACATACATGACCCTTTTACATACATGACCCCCAATGGATGGAAAACCATACATGACCCCTTCCATACATGACTCTTTTACATACATGGCCCTCTCCATACAGGACCCCTTTCTTACATTACCCCCAATGGATGATAAAACATACATGACCCTTTATATGAACGAGCCTGTATGGCAGGCTTGAAATTGAACACAAATGGCAGTTTCCAACCAGAAATGGCCGGACAGATGGAGGCGATCGCCGAGAGTCCTGATTGGTGCAGTATTGGTAAGCAGGACGCCTCCATCCAATGGGATCCGGAGTTGAGAGCCGGTTATATGTGTCTGGGAGTTCAGCCCATGCACCAGACAATGATCCGGCGGATTGTACTCAGGACAGAGGACCCGGCGAGGAGAGCCCTACCCTGACCCTCCCTGTAACACTCACCCTCCTCCTCCCTTATGTAAACTGAACTCCTCCATTGTACCTCAGGATCTTCTTCACTGAAGACCGACCTCCACGTGCCGAAAGATTCCCAACACCGGAATTCCGGCTTCTCTCCCAACCATTTCATCCCCAACAATCAACTTCTCCTACTTGTCCCCTTGTGTTCTGTGAAATATACAGTAACCTAATATAGCCGCTCCATGGTATATGGAGATGAGAAGAGGGGAAGGTGTTCTGTTATTCTTACACACTTTCTATCCTAGGGTGACAACACTGCTATAGACACACTATGGTGAGTGAACGTTGCCACCCTGCAACAGGATGTCGCTTTCTGGTAGTATCACCAGAAACTGAATGGAGCCCCAATATCTAATAACCTAAAACTGCAGTACATTCTATTTTTGTTCTTGGCTTCTAGATACACTCAGGGGACTATTTAAAAACAATTTGCAGAGCTTTTTACCCTAAAAATCTTTCTGAACGTTCGTTCTGTGCAAATAGAGGCAAAAACGAACATTCTCCGATATATTTAATCTTCCGGTCCATTGTGTGTAATACTGCATGTTGACCACTAGGTGGAGCTGAGGAGTAAAGGAGATTAGCATTTATTTCCTGTGCTCCTCTGCGCCATCTAGTGGCCATATTGTGGTATTACATCACATGCCTTCTATTTGAATCTATTTGCCCAGAACGGACGCTCGTAGGGCGAACGGCTCTGCAAATTGGTTATAAATAGACCCCTTAAACGGCATTAGAATCTTTCCACTCAGCTGTTATTATGGTGCAGAGACACACAGCTGCCTGTTACATTCCCGGAGAGAGAGCTGCCGGAGGACGACATCAGCTGTGCCGGGGGATCCGGTGTCTGCGCCTCGCTCCTCGGCTTCGGTCGGGTCATCCTGCAGCTGACAAACCATCTTCCTTAAGTCAGCACTCCGAGCTGTCAGGGTGTCACCCTACACTGACACGGAATGGGAAAGCCAAACACGCTTGTGCACTCGGTGCACTTATTTTAGACGCGATATTTAAGTCCCGGAGACTTTTCCCAGATGGGCTCCCAGCGGGAGACGACGGGCGGGCAGGTTACGGGAGCAGAACATGTGCCGGACATACACACACACACACACACACACACAGGAAGCTGTAGAAGCTTCAGTAACATTGTAACAAAAAATAGCAAATTTAAATCAATACTACAATGACCAAATCTCATATAAACATTCCTGCCATCCACTTCGCACCAGAAATCAGCAGCAGTGCTTTTAGCTAACGCTCAATCCTCTTACATGTTTCAGGCACCAGAGTCTGAAAAGAGAGAGTGCTTAGGCAGCTTACCGCAATGCAAGAAGTGCTGTAACTGTTCATTTTCCACTGCTGATAACTCAGCACATGGCTGGTGTTTTACACTGCTCTTCACTGATCATGTCATGTATTCATTATCTCCTTTCTGGTCAGAGATGGTGAAAGTGAAACACGTGGTGAAGGTCGATATAAAGTGTGTAAGTGAATTGTCTTTGTGGGACAATTACATAACAATCGCTCGGGAACTGACACTGTATCCCAGGGCCATGCAACACAGGCTTTGTCACTGCTGCAGAGTCTACTTTATGTCCCAGCATGTCAGGAATCCCTCTAATCATGACACCACTTGCTTTGTATCTCTTGCAGCAGCCTGGCGTCACCTCTCTACCCGCTGTGATGTGACCGAGCGAGAGTCTGGTTCCAGCGAGTGGCGGAGATGTATTGTGACTGACACTGTGGGATGTGGGCAGATTGTCTGTGTGTTTGGCTTCAGTGAGGTCAGACGTTAGAGATCTGTCACTTCAAGTCTCCAGCTGTCAAGATGATGCCAAGACCTGCCCAAGGCTTGTATAGAGGCAGGGCGACAACACCGTGACATGGAGGGAGGTGGGGAGCAGTGTGACCCCAGGTCGAAATAAGCAATATATAGGTGTCTTGCTGCACTCCTTACCGGAATAGGATGTTCCTTGAAATCCTGGTGGCTGCTCGTAGTGACCACGGATTTAAGTGAACTCAACAAAAGTCAATTTATTAGTGCAGCACTGTCATTCCAGTACAAGCGCTTTCGGGGCCACACAGGGTCCCCTTCATCAGGCTCAGAATTATGTCGCTTGTACTGGAATGACAGTACTCCACTAATAAATGGACTTTTGTTGAGTTCACTTAAATGGTGTGCTGGTGACATCCTTTTGCAACCCAGGTAGAAATATTCACTTCATTGGTTTCCCCAGTGTACATATTTGTACTTTCGTCCTTCCTTCCTTCCTTCCTTCCTTCCCTACTCCTTCTTTCCTTTAATCCCATCCTTCTGTATTTCTTCTCTTCCTCCCCCTTTTATCCTTCCTCCCTCTCTTTCTGTTCACCCTTCCTTATGCTCTCTTTCTTTCTTTTGCCTTCCTCCTCACTCTTCTTCCTTTCTCACCTCTTTTCTTCCTTCCTTTCTCTTCTTTTTCTTTCCTCCCTTCCTTCTTCCTTCAGTCCCCTCTTCTTCATCCTTCCTCTGCTGGTCAAAGTAGCTGCTAAACCCCGACAGCGAGCAGTATGGGGGGGTTTCTATGTGGTGGGCAGGGCTAGACTATTTTGTGCCCTATGCAAGACCAGCTACTGCACCCCCCAGCCCCCCTCCCACGGTGCAACCCCCAATCCCCCCCCCTGCGCGGCTCCATTCTCCTGCTGGCTACGGCCCTGGTGGTGGGCCAATTCATACATGTCCTGGAAGATGTCTGTGCCTGGTACACATCATTATGGCCCCTTAGGAAAGCCTGGCCCTGAGCCCCTTATATCCAAATTTTCAGCCTACAACCTCTCTTCACATTACAGCGTCGCTGTGATCAGATCTAATGCAGGTCCATTGACTTGCACTCCCTAGACAAAAGGAGGACTTACCCCTTGCAGTGCCGGGGGAGGCCCCACTACAAGAGCAATTTTTTTAATTTCCCAAAGTTCTCCAAACTTGAGCTTCATTTTTTTTTGTTTTATTTATAGTGTGAAGAGTTAAAATGTTGCTACATTTTGATTTGTACAGAAGATCAAACCACATTCCTCCACACTCCCTTCTGAGGAAGTCGCTCCAGCGGTGGACACGCGTGTTTCAAGCGTGGTGGGGCTATTTCCAGCCCTACAGATCCTTAGGTATTGGGGGCGGGTTAGATCATTTCCCCGAATAGATCTACAATGTATGTGACTATTCCTAATTTATTCACTGCAAGCTCTGCGGCTACAGAAAGCCACCATGGAAGCACCCCGGATGTCATATATGAGGTCACTCCATGTAATTGTATTGGTAAAGCACATTGTAATTATGGCTTAGCCACACAATCTTTATGG